GAGGGTAATACCGAGCCTTTAGTACCTTTGCTACTAGGGAGTCAGGCTTTTTCAGTAGGTTCCACACCTGTCTTCCTAATAGAGCAATGTTGAATCCGTGCAAGTCCTTGAATCCCATCCCTCCTTCATATTTAGGACGACATAACTTTTCCCAACTCATCCAATGTATTCTTCTTTCTTCTCTTTTACTGCCCCACCAGAAGCTAGCAATCATTTTCTGAATTTCTTGGATTACTCCCTGGGGAATTTGGAAAACTGACATGGCATAGAGGGTTTGAGCCTGTGCCACTGCTTTGATAAGCACTTCTTTAGCAGCCATAGATAGCAATTTCCCCTTCCACATTTTGATCTTGTCTCTTACTCTGTCAATAAGCTGTGCAAAGACAGCTTTCTTTGCTCGGCCTATAACTGTAGGGAGGCCAAGGTATTTGTCATGATACATGACTCTTCTCATTCCCAAAATTTCCCCCATCTCCTCTCTATCCCTTTCCAACACGTTTGAACTGAAAGATAGCTCAGATTTAGCTAAACTGACCTGCTGACCCGAGGCTAACTCATATGACCTGAGAAGGTCTCTGAGGGCTTCCCCCTGCTCCTTCTTGTTCTCAAAGAAAAATATACTGTCGTCAGCAAAGAACAGATGAGTAATCATTGGTCCATTGCTGCTAATCTTGATTCCTCGAAATTTCCCTTCTGCAACTACTTTTCTGGTCAATGCTGAAAGACCCTCAGCACATAAGAGGAATAGGTAGGGGGATATGGGGTCCCCTTGCCTCAATCCTCTTGAGGGTTTAAAAGTCTGTGTTTTCGAAGGTCATATAAAAGGTATAAGCTCCATCCTAGATTTGTCATTACTCAGTGGCTCTTTGCAAATGATAAGTTATCTTTGGCAAAGACAACCAGGCGGATGCTGGGAGAATTTGGACCTCATTAAGGATTATGGAGCAATACGGACAATAAAGTTAATATACACAAATCCCCCCACCCCACCCCACCCCACCCCACATATTCTTTGGTGCAAATGTTCCTGCACAGATTAAGAGCATATAATTACTCACATCGGGTTTGTCACCTCCAACTGTCACTCTAAATATATGTTGGAACTCTAGGAAGGAGACCTTATATATTCTTATCCAAAGAATGGAAAAGATGGGTGAAGTCTAGAAGAGTTTCCTCCTCACTCATAAGGCTACCATGTTATCCATAAGGCTAACACAAACTCTCAATCGATGGGAAACACAAATAAGTGGAACTCGATATGGGATTACAACTCTCCACCATAACTGGAAATTTTCATTTGAAGGTGCCTAGCTACTAAGGAAATGCTTATTTAGCAAAAATGCTCCCCAAACCCAAGATGCGCTCTGAGCGAAAATCCTAATGAATATATCTTTCATTGCCTATATGCCTGCATCCACGCCGTTAGCTTTTGGAGCAATGTGTTTCCTTGCCTATCCCTCCCTTCTTAATCCACATCATTCTTCAACTGGTCTGCTCCGTTAAGGAAGTTATCCATTTGAGAATTTTGAGTCATGTTGTCTTCATCTGCTGGAATATCTGGAAGGGAAGAAATGAGAGGAGTTTCAAAAATTGGGCTCTCTGGCCCCTAACATGTGTTTACAATCCTATAGGATTTCACTGACTGGACTTCACACCCGAGGATCCGCCCCTCAATCAACCTCTTTATAGTCAGCTCAGGTGAACCTAATCTTATACTACTCCATCGACAAGTACTCACCCAATGGTGATTCACTGTGAGGGGTAGTTCCTATACGATTCCCAATCGATGACATACGGCGTTGTGGTCGTTAACCATCATGAACAAGTGTGTGCTGGGCGAGCTGATACTCTCCTTATTATATCCCGATTGAAGCTGGAAACGAAGGTCTTTTGGAAGGTCTCAAATTAACACAAGAATATGCTAGTGAATGTATAGTCCAATCCAATTGTCAAGTATTAGTTCAACTTTTATCTCAAGAACCATCGAGATGGCCATGAAGGGATGCGGCTTAATAGGATCAATGGTCTCAATCCTTAGATTGAACCTTCAAATTAAGGTTAAGGTTTTTTTAGGAAGCTTAATACTCGAGTTGATTGGGTGACTCATTCTCTAACGAGATTTGCTCTTCCAAATAACTAGAATAATATTCTAGATCTAATTTATTGGTGTCTAGTAGCTGTAACTTTGTTTTACAATGATAAAACGGTGATGTTACTATTAGTTCCTCCTTATATTGCTTCATCCAATAAACTCCTACTATTATATAGATAGAAGTGACAAGAAACACTGACACCGTTTACTCTTTTAGACAAAAAAAATTTGACATGATTTATTGAACATTCGTTTATGTTACTGTTCGAGCCCGGTAACTAGGCGTCCCGAACCCTCGCGCTTGACCCTTCCGGCACGCTCGGACCTGCACGCTGCACGACTAACCTGAGTCCCGAGGAGGACTCGTTAGCACTCCAACGCCCAAGTCAGTTACCTTTTCTAGAGAGAGAAGTGAATAGTAATTTTAGAGAGAAGTGCCAACCTGAGTAAATGAGGTTCACCAACCGACTATTTATACCCGAAGCCCGGCCGACCAACATCCCTCTCTTCCGCCCCTTGCCAGACCCGCAATTAATGCTCCGTACGGCCAAGCGCCCATGCGCCTCGACCATCTGACACCCCGTTCAGAAGGGTCAGGCGCATGACGTCAGCTAGTACGGGATAGGTTAGGGTGGTTACTCAATTTTGAGTAATCATGGTGGCTACCAACATCTATACCATTCATTATCTTTATTTTATTATATTTTTAAATTAACGATTAAGATCAGATAAGGGTAATTTAGGAAATGAAAAATGTACCACACCTGATTACTCTATATATTATACTCAAACCCTAATACAACCCCACAACCGCCGCCGTCTTCTCCCTTCTCCCTCCTCCCTCCGACCACCCCAATCGGACCTCCCTCCCCCCGATGGCGTCCCTCCCTCCCCTCTCCCTCCCCCCGATGGCATCCCTAGGTCGAAATTGAGGGTCTCAATCAATCTCCCCGACAACGAGATTAGTAAACAGCTGAGCTTCAGAGAAAGCAAGGAGAACGGCGGCGGGGCCGTAATGAGGGCTGGGAAGGCTCCGGCAGCGGCGAGCCGGTCACAGAGTTTGGTAATGTCGGAATCGGAGAGGCGGCGGCGCCACGACGGGAGCGCGACGAAATCCCGGTAGTTTCCTCGTGAGGAGAAGACGGCAACGTCAAAGTTCTTCGCTTTTAAGCCTGTTGAAGTGGTGATTTTGAATTTTTGATGTTTTGGCCTTGTTCAATTTGCTAAATGTTCTGGGTTGGGGCTCTTTGTAGATGTGGTGAGAGATGATCCCGTCAACGTCAAAAATAATACCAACCGCCGCCGTCGTCTCTCCAATTGGAAGGAGGAATTCCATTGGAATGGTATATTTTTTTTTAAATGGTAGTCATTTTTTTTTCAGTAGTCATTTTTTTTAAATGGTAGTCATTTTTTTCCGTAGTGGTAGTGTTATAGTCGTATTGGTATAGTTTTTGTCGTATTGGTATTATTTTTGTCGCATTGGTATTGATTTTGTCGCATTGGTATTGATTTTGTCACATTGGTAGTGATTAAATCTGCAATGGTATTGATGTTTTGTGAAATGGTAGTGTTTTTATTTCTTGAATGGTATTGATGTTTTGTGAAATGGTAGTGTTTTTATTTCTTGAATGGTAGTTTTCGTGTAATGGTATAAATTTATTTATGCAATGGTAGTTTTCGTGTAATGGTATAGATTTATTTCTGCAATGGTATTGATATTTTTCAAAGTGGTAGTGTTTGTCTAATGGATTGGTACTGATTTCGTTTTTTTTTTTTTTTGCAGAAAGATTGAGAAAAATATGGAAAGAAAATCTGGCTGGAGATTACGGAAGTGAGAGAAAGAGAGAATTTTAATTAATAGATTTTTGTAACTACCTTAAATGTAATTTATTAAAAAATTAATTAATATAATTTATTTTTCCATACCCAATTTACCCTTAGTAACCACGGTGATTACTACTTTGTAGTAATCACCGTAACCTGTCCCCAGCTAGTACCCACACCCGTACTCTGGGACTCCCCTGAGGCTACCTGTCGCACGCGCCTCGTGTCAGGGTTGTGGCCCCACCCGTCTGGGGAGGCTCTTCCTTGTCCATGGGCCGACTTTTCCCTTGTCCCTGGGCCCATTGGGCTGGGCCTAATCCCTCAGCCTTCCAATCTCTCTTCTTGGGCCATATTGGTCCAGCCCACGCGGGTCATGCATACATCCCCAACAGTTACTATTAGTTCCTCCTTATATTGCTTCATCCAATAAACTCCTACTATTATATAGATAGAAATTGTGACAAGAAACACTGACACCGTTTACTCTTTTAGACAAAAAAAAAAAATTTGACATGATTTATTGAACATTCGTTTATGTTACTATTAGCTCCTCCTTATATTGCTTCATCCAATAAACTCCTACTATTATATAGATAGAAATTGTGACAAGAAACACGGACACCGTTTACTCTTTTAGACAAAAAAAGAATTGACATGATTTATTGAACATTCGTTTATGTTATTTTAAAACCAGTCTTCTTACATAAAATTTATGCACAAATTTGTGAACCAAACAAGGTTATGGATCAATCCGATCATCATATGTGAACTAAATTATCACAATATCCATCCAGCAATTTCGAAACGCCCAATGTATGATCTGATAAATATTCATTTTGTAAGTATGTTCACACAGATGAATTGTGAGCACCATAATTGTATTTGCTAAGATGAGAACGGACTAAACGGCGGCGTTTCCTGCAATCGTCTAAATACAAAGCGGCAGAGGATTTGTAGTGTAGCTGGGAAGAGTAGAGCACCAAACAAGCTCTTGTCATCGTTTTATCGCATCGTCGTAAAGAGCGAGTGCTGACGCGGGCGGGTGCGTATTTTCCTAGAAAATACGTTTGGATTCAGAGGAAAAAAATTAACTTTTTTTTTTGTGGTTTTCGAGGCCAAATCCCTAATCCGCTCCCCCACCTCCGGGCACTCTTTTCGGTACTTTCGCCATCTCTCTTTTCCTCTTCAATCCTCTCCCCACTTGTGGATTTGGAGGTGGATTTGTCCGTACTCCTGTCCTGTCTTCCCAAAAGGTCGATCACTATTCTCCTCTCTAGCTCTTCTTCTTCTTCTTCTTCTTCTTCTGGTTCTTCTGGTTCTTTGGTACTTCTTCGTTTTTAGTTGTATCAGTTTACAGTTTCCATTTCCATGGCGGATTGTATAGAATTGTCTTGCAACTCAACATGCCTTGGTTGTGAATTCTTCTCCTTTCTATCTCCCCCAGTTGGTCGGAGATTTTAATTTCCACAGCCTCGTTGAATTGTCGATGAGGGTTTTTTTTTTTTTTTTTAATTCCCCCTCTGCTTTTGAATTGCGCGTTTTATTGATTTGTGAAATTTGGATGGGAATGGCTTAGTGTGATACTGAGGAAGTATCACGGTTACCAGTTTTGTCAAGGGTTTGATTAGGACACGGCTTTTCTGACTTAACTGCTGTTTGAGCTTTCGCTTCTGTTAGTCACCTGGGGTTTGTTTCTTATTCACTGATTTGGGTTGATGTCATTGTTTTGGGTCTCTGCCTGTCCATTTCCTCCCATACCCTGCTGAGTTTCAGAGGTTAATGTTTGAGAAAATCCCTTGAATGAATGACGCAGGTGTTCTTTGAAGTAAAAAGATGAGTACTTTGGATGCCACAAGAGCTGAACTTGCCCTCGTAGTTTTGTATCTGAACAAGGCCGAGGCAAGGGACAAGATATGCAGGGCGATTCAATATGGCTCGAAATTCTTGAGCAACGGCCAACCAGGAACTGCTCAAAACGTTGACAAATCCACCAGCTTGGCAAGGAAAGTTTTCCGTATCTTTAAGGTCAGTTACAGTCGGTTTACATTCTGTGTTCGCTTCTGTTGTTCCGGTTACAATCCATGCCTTACCTGACTTTGTCGATAAACTTGCAGTTTGTCAATGATTTGCATGGTTTGATCAGTCCGGTGCCTCAAGGAACTCCTCTTCCTCTTGTTTTGTTGGGAAAGGTATGTGTGAAGCTCTACTAATGAAGACTTTTATATGTTTTTCTTTCTGCTCTTTCTTTTGCTCTTACATGACAGTTCAGTGTGTTACTATTGCAGTCGAAAAATGCATTGTTGTCCACGTTCTTATTCCTTGATCAAATTGTTTGGCTTGGTAGAAGTGGCATCTATAAGGTACGTTGTACTTTCTTGATCACATATCAGAATTTTAGATTGGAGTTTGGCAATAGATTCTCAGAACCTCCTCCTTATTCTTTTTTTATTAGAACAAAGAACGAGCCGAGCTACTTGGTCGCATATCTCTGTTCTGTTGGATGGGGTCATCGATCTGTACCACATTGGTCGAGGTTTGTGATTGAATTTAATTTGTTGTGACTTGTGTCCAAAGTGAATCTCTACACTAACCCAAACCCCAAGATGGGTTATTTTTTGGTTTGGTTGAGATAGTTGCATAATGTCCTAGTATTCTCTCATACCAGGTTGGGGAACTTGGTAGGCTGTCTGCATCTATCAGTAAGTTAGAGAAAGAGCTTAAGAATACTGATAAGCATGAGGTATGAAGCGATCTATTTGATACCCTGAACTCCTGATGTTTCGTTTTCTGCTTTCCAGATGTTTTATGACCTGGTTGCTTTTGGTACTCTTATCAACTGCAGAATGAGCAATACCGTGCGAAGCTCCAAAAGTCAAATGAAAGGTCACTAGCTCTCGTCAAGGCAGGCATAGATATTGTGGTTGCAGTTGGGCTTCTGCAGTTGGCACCCAAGAAAGTCACTCCTCGTGTAACTGGAGCCCTTGGATTTACTACCTCTTTGATCTCCTGCTATCAGGTACGTATTATACGCGTATTGTGAGGCCTATATAGTGAATGCACTACCTAGATGTTAGGGCAATTATTTCCTCTGCTGCCGCCAGCAGTTTGATATAATCTATATGTTACTCGAGCTCAAGTTCCTGTGATTTCAAGTTGCTATGACTCAGCATATGAGAGGTGCATCGTGATCTGTGGTGGCGTGAATTTGATGAGCTTACCATTTCCCCTGGTTTTGCTAATGTAGTTGCTTCCATCGCGACCCAAGTCAAAGATAGCCTGACGAGGATCGGCAAGGTTTGAACGAATGTGATGGTCGAGGCAAGGATAGCTTGAAGGTTGGCCAGAAGAATACACTAGCTAGCATGGAATGTTTAGGTGCCATGCTGAAGAAAAGTTTTAAATAATTGGTTTAGTGTTTGTCATATAAAATGCTTGTTTGGTGTAAGCTTTTGCTTTTGAGTTTCAAAGACCTCATGTCACCACCACATTTCAATGGTCCTGCATTCGTGCTTACTGCTTCGTTCTGCAATGGAATAATAGTAATGATGTCTGATTTGCTGTGTAACGAAATGTCATAATGGTTCTTCTAAGTTCTAACCCTGTTGATGAAAGTTGAAGTTAGGGCTCCACAGACATCATTAGTACACAATAATTTTATGGTACAACGCCAACCTCTTTACTATGCTTTTATGCTATCAGAGCACAAAAATCACAAACCAAACTGACGGCTGTAACCAAACAGATCCACAATGATGTCATGTTAGATTGTTTTGTTTTGTTTCACTATCCTCAATTGTTTGAACCAGCACGCATTGCCACCATCATCCTCACTCCTTCCATTCCCCGTAACAAGATAGAATTGTGCAACCCAAAAAAGCTCTCCCACACTGCAATCAAGCAATATTCAGAGCCACCAAGCATTTTGCTTCTGCAACTACCACCAGCCCTTTGATTACTGCCATCATCTCATTCAATACCCAACCAATTGATTAGAAAAAAGAAACATGCAGTCCAAATCAATGCCATAGCTGCTTGCTTTACCATATTCACAATAGTTAACCCCAGAAAATCGCCATGGGGACCAGAGGACCAAAGGTGTTAGAAACCGAATTATCTAGGGTTTCTATATTTATTATTTTAATTATTATTAGGGTAAGTCTTATTAAGGTTAGTAGTCATTTAATAGAATTAGGTTTATTGTTAGGGTTTTCCAGTCTTTCGTTATAAATATGTACTTTGAGTCTACGTTAGGGGGAGTGAAGAAAGAATTATCAAAGAATCTCTTAAACCCTAATCTCCATATCTTCCCAATTCTCGATCTCAATCCCTCTAAAGGCCTAGGCCGATTCCCTTCTGTTCTTCCCCAATTCTTTCCCAAATCCCTAATTCTATCTTCTCAATCCCTAAATTCCCAAATATCACCCAATCCAAATCCCGTTAGAAACTTTGTTTCTAACATCTGGTATCAGAGCCCGGTTCGAGAATTGAGTTCACCACAACTCTCAACCGGGGACAAGTTCTACAACTGGTTCGACGATGAGCTCTTCAAAGCTCTCGAACCTGTCGTGGGCAGAGCTACATGACCGGGCTCGCCGCATCGGTCGCCGTTGGCGCTCCGAAGAGTCACCGACCGTGCAAGCAGAGACGATGACCCTAGAAACCCTGTCATTGGCAGAGCTGCGTGACCAGGCCCGCCGCATCGGACGTCGTTGGCTGCCCGAGGAGTCGGCGACCGCGAAGGCAGAGGCGGTGGTTCACGCCGACAACCACGAGCGACCCCCACTGCCGGCCGAGGCACCGACGCTACAGGCAGTGCTGACCCAGGACCTGAAGCCGATCACGGAGAACGAAGGGGTCCTATCCGGGGAAACGAGCGAGCAGCAGCTACAGGACTCACAAGACGTCGAGCAAAAGGGGGAGGAGTCGGAGGCGGTGGTCTCGATCAAATCCTTGACCGAAGTAACTCCTTCCGCGTGCCTCGACGATGACGACACTGTGGCAATAGACAAGGAAGAAGTCGTTGATGAAGAGGAATCGAATCTTGTGGAGGTTTCGCCCTCAACCACGGCGTCATCCGCCACCATCCTCGTCAAGGTAAGGCCAGCTGCTTCTGTAGAAAAATCTGAAACAGAAGATGCGGAGGTAACATCAACGCCTAATCGCGTTGCGAGCTGGCGATTCTGGAAGAAGAAGCCGAGACTCGACAAGAAAGAACAAGCATTAACAAATTGGGTGGAACAATCTATTTTCCCAAACCATGATGCTGTTTCCTGGAAATTCAGAAAGAAGACGCAGCTACCGGCAATTGAGAAGAAGAAGATGACGAAGACCGGCGCGGGACTAGAGAAATCGTTGACGGGAAAAGAAGATCCGGCGAGGGAGATACAACAACAAATCTCCCTCGACTCCGCCAACTTCCATGCCCTGTGCGAATTCAATGAAATGAGGAAGCAGGAGATGTCGGTTGGTTGCAAGCCCCAATTCCCGAGAAAGAAAGAGCCACCGCCGAACCAAAAAAAGAAGAAGAAGAAACGCGGCGGCAGAAGGCTGGAGACGATGTTGGCTGAGCTCGGCGCCGGGAGCAATCGACGAAGGAACACAGCAGGGGAGCAAGCTCGCCGGGTCTTCGTCGGCCGCGCGAATGGCTCCGACGGCGCTGCGATCAAATCCCTTCGAGACGGCGCGGAGCACGATAGTCGGGGCTCGTCGCAGGCAGCACCGATCGCGACGGGGTCGAATTCGAGTTCCCTGGTGCGCCGTTCGCCGGAGGACGAGAAGAAGAAGGGTAGCGGCGCTTCCCTTCCCGCGATCGAGCAGGCGACGACGAAGGTAGCAACGGCGCTGCTGGCGAAGAGAGACGGTGGCGTCGCTCTTCTCTCCAACCCCAGGTCACCGCCGGGAAAGAAGATGGCGGCGGCGGCTACGGGCTGGCCGCCGTGCATCCGGTTGGGTTGGGTCGCGCCGCCGTGCGGAGGTGAGACGGAGAAAGAGGCGAAGCAAAGTCGCCCGGATCCATCGCCTAGAAAGGGAATCTCGTCGGAAAACGAAGCGCCGAGGAAGGGCGAAACGACGGAGACGGAGGAGGGTCAAACTAGGAAGATGACGGACTTGTTCCTTCCTTCCCATCGTCACAGTGGTCGCCGATCGATGAAGAAGACGTCGGAGTCAGGGTGGCCGTCGGGTTACTCGCCGCCGGGAAAACAAGGTGAGAGGAAGAAGGAAGGCGGCGGCTGTGTTGCTCCACCAGCAACCCTAGGTCACACACCAGAGGAAGGGCTAGTCCGTTTGGGCCGCTCTACCTACCGGGCTGCAATTCCTTATGGGCCAGAGCGGAGTGTCGGGCTCGTTTTTGGTCTGCTAGAGACCGTTGGGCTCGAGTTGGGCGGCGCAGGTCAGCAGGCTTGTGAGAAGAAGGATCAACAAAACAGGCCAGATCGAGTGGGCCTAGGGCTGAAAGAAACCCCTCTAAACGGGCCAGACAAGAAAGAGATCAGTTGGGCTTATGGAGGTAATGGGCCGAACTGTATGAAGAACCATGGGCCAATGGGTTGTGTTGTTGCAATTATTTTGCAGGAACAAAATATGGAGAAAGAAAGAAATGGGCTTATTGGATTTGAATGTAGGCTTCCAATAGAGCTTAATTCAAACCAATTTGGAGAAGAATGGAGCCCAAAAGAGCTTTTCTTCACCACTAAGTCCATTATGGAATTTATAGAGCCTCCTCTTGAAGACCTCAAGCGGGAGAACGAGGAAGAACATTTATCCGACTCTTATTTCGTGGATTTCGAAAAGAAAGAGGAAGAATTGTTCGGCTATGGGGATCGTGACCTGTGTCACGTGGTTCGAGAAAAGTTGGGGAGAGTCGGGGTCACGGGAGTGGGTTTCATTCGAGCAGTGGAGCACAATTGGAAGACAAGAAAGCGCAAGGAGTGGAGTAGACAAAACGCGGATTGCGTGGGAGATGTAAAGAAATGGGTCGAGTCAATCAACCTTGAGGGCAAGGTTGGTCTGAAGGGGGAGGAGATGTTAGAAACCGAATTATCTAGGGTTTCTATATTTATTATTTTAATTATTATTAGGGTAAGTCTTATTAAGGTTAGTAGTCATTTAATAGAATTAGGTTTATTGTTAGGGTTTTCCAGTCTTTCGTTATAAATATGTACTTTGAGTCTACGTTAGGGGGAGTGAAGAAAGAATTATCAAAGAATCTCTTAAACCCTAATCTCCATATCTTCCCAATTCTCGATCTCAATCCCTCTAAAGGCCTAGGCCGATTCCCTTCTGTTCTTCCCCAATTCTTTCCCAAATCCCTAATTCTATCTTCTCAATCCCTAAATTCCCAAATATCACCCAATCCAAATCCCGTTAGAAACTTTGTTTCTAACAAAAGGCCATAATTTCTGCAGCCCTACAGTGTGATAATGGAGTCCCAAGAAGAATCTCATCATGATTGTTCGTTTTCAAGAGCTTCTTCCATTGCCCCTTTTTTTCCATTCCGTTTCATAAAAGATAATGAAACCCCATCCCCATAACAAAACCCTAAACAAATAAGGAAAAAACAGAGCTAAACATTACACATTTTACAGAGAAGAACAAGAAGATAACATTATTTATTTCCTAATGAACAAACTCCTGAGCTTCCCTCGTTCCAACCTCTCCAGCAGCTTCTTCGACCCAGGAACATCCATCTCCGTCAGCTTCTTCAGGTACCCGCTCGCCCCGTACGAGATCATCATCTTCCTGCACCTCTTGCTCCCCGACAAGCCCGCCAGGCACGCCACCGCGTACTTCTTCGCCGTGTTCTGCGGGCTGGCGTCCAGCAGCTGCACCAGATTCGGCACGCTCCTCCCTTCCTTCCTCACCTCCCTGCAGTTCTGCGAAACCGTCATCAGGCTCGAGATCGCCTGCGCAGCCACCTCCCTCGCCCCGTTCGACTTCGCCTCCAGCATCCTTATCAGCAGCGGAATGCACCCGGCCTCCCCGACCACCTTCTTCATCTCCGCCGCAGCACACACCCTGCATATCGCCGATGCTGCAGCCTGTTGTGCCCCCACCGACCCCGATTTCAGCACGTGGACCAATCGCGGCAGGAATCCTTGCGAGACGAGGATTTCGGTGGAGACGGAGTTTACCAGATTCCTCAATGCTCCAACAGGGGACTCCTGAGGGAGAGGCCCGTCGAGATACGCCAGCAGGCTTCGAATCCCGCCTTCCGAAATCACGGATCTTCTCAAATCCTCGTTGCTGGAAGTGAGATTCTGCAAGCATTCCGCTGCGTACTCTTTGGAACCCAGCAGGATCCCGCAGTCCAGAAGGTTGATCATTACCTTCACGATTCCTTCTTCAGCCAGTGGCTGCCGAACTTCCGGTACAGCAGAAATGTTCTTCAGAGTGCAAGCTGCAGCTGCCTGAGACACCGAATCCCCCGTTCGGCATATCTCGATCAACGGCCGGATTCCACCGTGACCCACGATCGCTCTGGCTGTTTCGGCCGACATCGAGAGCCGCTGGAGGGAAATGGTGGCCTTCTCCTTGCCCACCGCGCTCCCGGACTCGATCAGTCTGATCAGGGGAGGAAGAACGCTCTCCGAAACGAGCCAGCTCTCGCAGCTCCCTGATTCCGCCAGCGAGCATATGACGGTGACTGTTTTCTCCCGAATACGAGGCGATGTGGCGGTTAGCAGCTGGACCAGAGCTGCGATGTTGCTCCGACCGAGAACAGAGAGGACCGCTTTTTCATCTTCTTTCATGAACTCGACCAGAGAGTCGAGAGCTTTGTGCTTTGCCTCCAAATGACCGATTTGAAGGCGAGCAAGCAACTCCCTGATGTTCCCGTGGAAGAGAACACCCTCATCAGCTTCCGCCGAGGTTCCGGCGGCGGCTGCGGCGACCGAAGGAGGAGGCAGAGTAGCCTCAGCCAGAACCCCAGTCTTGATCAGAAGCCCACAATCTCTCAAATTCAAATCCAATTTCCCCGACAAGGAATCGAGATCGCTCTGCATCCTGAGCTTCCCTTCGTACCTCTCTGCCACGCAAAGCTCTGCCAATTCCATGGCTTCCTTGAGAGTCGTCGAGACTGCCTGGAGCTGCTCCTTGCAGAGAGCGTTCTTGGTGAAGCAAGGGTGGCTCGACAAGTCGGAGAGCCGATTCGGGATCTGCTCGAGCTTGCCGACGATCATCTTCCATCTTCCTGGGAATCCTTTGACCTGTTTCGCCTTCTCGAGAGCCAGAGGGACGAGTTCTTGTGCGTGGGAAAGCCAGTCTTCAACGGATTGAACATCGGTAACCACCTGCTTGCCTTTGCGGCGATCTTCAATTGCCATGATGGATAGATTTGACTGCTTGTTCAATCAAATTTGGTTACTCTTCTTCCTGAAAGCAAACGGGGAGAGCGAGAAGAAGAAGCCCATTAAAGTAAAGAAAGTGAAGAAGTGACCTGGATGAGAAGCAAAGCACAAGAAGGAAAGGAAAAGACACTTATTAGAGTGGGAGCAGTTGCAATCGTGAGACATGAACTAGAAAACAAGAGAAAGGTTTTTTTTCTTCTTCTTCTTCTTCCAAATAACAAAGTACAAATCAAAACATAATTAGAGTGACGCCTTTGCTCCTCTGCTTTCCTTTGAGAATGTATTACTGAACAGTCACACCAAGCTCGTTCTGAAGCAAATACACCCAACCCACCAAATTAAAGAAAACAATACAAGGAAAAAAAGGCAGATAATAGATTAGATGGATATGCCTTTGTGCCTCTGCTTTGCCTGCTGCCTGCCTACCCATGAGAGCTCATCACAAATTGCCTTTTTTTTTGTATTATTATATAATAATTAAGATCATTACTACACATCTTCTGATATTGTCATCATCAAAATGAAAGATCATATTTTTATTATATAATAATTAAAGGGTGAAGGAAGAAAAGAGGAACAATTTTCTGAGCCTTTACTTTACAGCTTTAAAAAAAAACGTCGGTGAAGCAAAGCAATGTAGAGGAGATGTATAATCTTGTAGATGTAGATGGTGATCTGATCTGATCTTCCCCTCCAAAACGTTACCCAATCGGGTCACCATCAAATGCAGGTGGTGGAGATGAGAGAACTACAGAGGGAAAAGAGGAGGAGAGAGACAGACTTTACTTTGAAGAGAAGGTACAAGTCTCTATCTACCACTGTATTCCTACCTTTTTTTTTTTTTTTGGTTTTTGAATCCCTGAAGATGGGCGTGCGATTTAAAACCGAGATACTGGAAATTGAATTCAGCACAGTAAGTAAATAAATGGTGGAAATGATTGGTTTTTACCTCAAACCATTTACAGCTAGCCCACCAGAATTCTCGCCTCTTCCTTGACCCGACTCAGAATCCGATTCAGTGGACGGCCCGAAGAAGCCCAGGAGCTGAGAAAGCGAAATGGCGCAAGAAGATGTCAAAGGTAGGAAGTAAAGCAATGGCGAAAGCAAGTTGTTAAGTGAATTGAAAGGGTAGAGAGTTGCGAGAATCAACTTCAACCAAAGCACTTACCTTTACGCTTCAGGGACTGGAATTTTCACTCCCAAAAAACGACTGCGATGAAAGATGAAACTACCGTCATCTCAAATCTTCTTCCCCTCCCTCCATATCACCAAAAACCCACAAAGTTGCTTGCTTTTTCACTGTGCCTGAAATTCCCACGCAAGCTACAGTCGGATCTCCGAAAGCTTCCTTTTGTTTGGGCACTGAAATGAACCCTTTAAGAGCACTTCACAGTTGAGTTCTTCTCGCTAATTAGAAACAGAGGAACAGACACGCCAACGGTCGAAATCACTTGGCTGCGGTACAAGTAGAAAACAGAGCAAGAGAGAGAGAGAGATAAGCAGCCAAAATTTTGAAATGGAGATGTCCCCTATTTGAAGTAGAGATTCAAAAATCAAATCTTGCGTCTTCAAATTGTCTCTCACTCTCTCTCTAGAATACAACTGTCTCTGTCTCTCTCTACTCTGTTCGAGAAGCCCAAAACCAAACTTGTGTGTCAGGCAGGCTCTCTTCTCGCCTAGATTCCATAAAAATGTCGGAACGAGCAGCAAAAAAAAGCATTACAATTTATTTTAGCTTTTACTTTTTTTTTTTTACTAAATAAACGCTACGGTTTCTGTATGATCGGACAATCATGAATTCATACAATTAAACGTGGCGCATGATTGGGGATCCTGCGGCTGTGATTGAGTTATGGACAGGGATTCCACCGTTGCGATTTTTCTATTTTTGAACGGCCTTTGACAATTCTCAGGTCACCGCGGTGGCAAATACAGAGGATTCTTGCCACGTGTACGGTGGGACCGCTGACGAGTTTCCTTTTAAACGTGTTGGGCGGGGTATGCACGTGTGTGGTGAAGACGGTGACTGGTTGTGGACAGGAAGACGGAAGCAAGATAAATAGAGAAATTGGGAGCATATGGTAGGGCTCTTAATGAGCCAAGTCGTGTCGAGCGTTGCCTTGTTCAAGTTCGGCTCGTTTAAGGCAACGCTCGATTCGACACATTATTAACGAGTCGAGTTGAACACAAATCAGCTTATTTTTTTAATTCTTGACACATTATTAAGATCGAAAATTCGGCTCGAGCTCAACTCTAAGATAATTTATGATATAAATACCCTAATATTTATATGTCATATGTGAAACATGTGATGAGCACTTCTACTATGCTATATAGTATTGGTGCTTTAATGTACAACTTGAAGTTGTACCATAACATTAAATGTATAAGTTTAGGTTGTACCATAAAGGAATTTGTATCATTATGTTATAGTTGTGTTTGTTGAATACATGTATTGTGCACAATACAATATTTGGAAGTGCCAAAGTGTTAAACAATGCATGCATTGTTTTAGGTAGGTCCCACCAACAATAACAAAAAATGATGCATTATACAATCTCAACTTTTAGTTGAGATTGTTGTGATTGTTGGTTTTAGATTTGTGTCAACTTTTTCTTTCCATTTATATCCCCAATAATTTTTGTCTTATTCTAAAAGTTGAGGGTAAATGTGACATTTCTCCATAAAAGTAACTTTATGTAAATCAATGCATAAAGTAGAATCTCAACAACCAAACAATGTATTGTTAAAATGCATCCATTGTATCAATACATGCATTTATATTATAGTGATTCATTACAATGCAACGATTTAACATTCGCAACTTCCAAACAACCCCTTGTATCATTATGTTATGGTACAACTTTACAACTTGAAGTTGTACCATCACATAAAGGTACAAGTTCAAGTTGTACCATAAAAGAATTTGTACAAAAAGTATAGGTACAATCTGAAGTTGTCCCATAACGTAAATGTACAATTTCAAGTTGTACCATAAAGACAAAAACCTATAGCACCAATACTATATAGCATTGTAAAATTCCTCAACATGTGATTACCTAATGTATGTCATACATGAGACGTATTTGTTTTCATATACTCAACGTATTAAACACCATATGACGTGATACATACAATTTAATAATTACATACATCATTAACAAAGTAACTCATAAAATCTCATAAGTTGTACTCGAGTTGGCTTTTTTTTTTTACAAAAGATAACCATATTGATTCAAGAACAGATAGTTACATCCTGGAATTAAGCCAGACCTGGAAATCAAAAAAGCGACTCATAGCCGGGGTACAAAGACAGGGCCTTTCTAACCACCAAATGGGCTACTCTATTGTTACGCCGACCTGCAAATCGCATACTAAATCCACCATGGACGGCTAAATGATGCACTACTTCTTGAAGAATCGCCCCCATCTGATTGTCCCTGGTATTTGTCCGATTGATCTTCTCAATAATGACCTTGGCATCTACTTCATATCTCATTTCCGTGAATCACAGGCTCTGGCACCACAAAATAGCTCCCATCAGCACCAGAAGCTTGACCACCAAGGGCGCATCAATTAGCGGAAACGGAATCCCTTTAGTCAGAACGAGTTCGCCATTTGCATCCATAATAATCATCCCTCCCGCCGAGTGAGACCCACTCATGGTAGCCCCATCCCACATACAAATATTCGTAGAAGAGTTAACAGGTAACTGGTGACCCGTCAACTGGATTAGGGGCTGCAGGACAGGATCGACTGGCAAATGTATCCACTCCTCATACTGCTGGTTAAATTGATGCATCAAGGAAGGGATCCCAAACTGTTTGCCCTCAAAGACAACCTAGTTCCGAGACCGCCAAATCCTTCAAAGGATGGCAACAACCTTCATAAATAGAGGGGGCTAGTGTATTAAAGACACCAACCTCTTAAGGAAGAGAGGGAATGTATGGCGTGACAACCTTTGGCCAAGGTACTCCATGCCTGAAAAATCTCAAAGGGCACGCGCCACCGGACAATAGAGAAACAAGTGCTCCATGGTTTCAGAGTCAGACCAGCAGACTGGGCATCTAGGTAGCACATTGACACCCTTCTCCCGTAGAGCTTCCGTCGTAGGCAAGATTCTGTTGAAAATTTGCCATCAGAAAACTTTCAATTTAGGCGGGATATTAGCCTCCCATAACCGAATCCAGCTGGGTTTATCTATCCAACTAGCCATATGTCTCCACCGCCCATTCCCTTTATCAATCGAAACTGCTAAATGATAAGCCGACTTAATGATGAAGACCCCATCAGCCGCGCCATGCGAGATCAACCTATCCTCTACATTCTGACGCGGTAGAGGAATAGCTTTGATAGCACTACAAGTAGATGGGTCGAACCATTGACTGAGCTTTTCATCAGACCATTGCCCTTCCTCTTGGCATATCACCTCCGCAATAGGTGGATCCCCCCCGTTTGGCAACACCCGGGGATTATACACCAACGCCCAGGGGTGCAACCGAGGAACCCAATTGGAGTGAAGAAGAGAAGCAGTTTGACCATTCCCAATTTGCCATCGTAACCCCATATCCCGTAACTGCCGACCATATAAGATAGTTTTCCAGCCCCACGATGGGCGCGACCGAGCCAAAGCAGAGAGGAAAGTCCTATTCGGAACATACTTCCCTTTATACACCTGGGCTAACAGGGAATCAAGTTCATTAAGGATACGCCATCCAATTTTAGCCAACAGGGTCTGATTAAAATGCTCAAAGCGGCGAAACCCCATCCCCCAATCATGTTTACTTCTGCACATATTGCCCCAAGATATCCAACGAATCCTGGATTGGCCATCTTCAACTCCCCACCAGAAGAAGGCAACGTGTTTGTCTAAGAGTCGACACAGAGATAGCGGAAGCCTAAAACAGGACATAACATGCAGATGCAAAGCTAAAGCAATTGATTTGATAAAAGCAAAAGCAATTTTCCTTCCAGATAACGGAAGGTAGTCAGTTTTGATCGAGCAATTAGCGTAGGTAACCCCAAATATTTATCATGGACACCTACCATCCCAACCCCTAGAATTTGGGCCAAGAACTCATGGTCTGGCAAAGCAATATTTTTACTAAAACAAACAACCGATAAAGCCAAATTTATCCTCATGACCACTGAGTTCCTCATACTCGTTGAAGACCTCAATCAAATTTTCACATTCCAGGAGCTTATGAGATGTCCCAACATTGTCACTAGAGATCTCATAAGCTCAAAACGAGGCAGTTCATGAGTTGTATTAATGAGCCACCTAATCGAGCTAGTTCACGAGCTTCACGAGTCGAACAAGGTAGAGATCAAGCTCGGCTCGTTTATTAACGAGCCGAGTTTTTTTTATTCGAATGAGTTTTTATCGAGTTTAAGACCGAGCCGCTCATGAATAGCTCGGCTCATTAACAGCCCCACATATGGATAGGCTCAAGCCGCTAGAGAGAAATAGAGAAATCAAAGCATATGGGTTCGGCAGTCGACTCCTTATTTAACAAGCCGACTTGCGAGCCAATTTGTTAGTAAACGAGTCAAATTTGATCTAAATCATGCTCAACTTGATAAGCTCGTGAGCTAGCTTGACTTGATGGATTGTTGAGCCAATGAGTCGTTTGGAAGTTGAGATTGTTTTGTTGAGATTGTTGCTATACATGTATTGTTTTGAATGCATCGGCTTTTCAATTTTTAGCATAAATAATACATGGATTGTTTATGTGATGTGACATAAAATATCATTCAAAATGAGTGATTGTTATATCTTAACTTTTTGTTGTAATTGTTGAGATTGTTTTATCTAAACTTTTAGCTGATGTGAAATACACAATCACACATAGCAAACATTGTATTCTACAATGCATCGAATTCGACAATAAATTTATAATATTTATATGCGTTTACAACAATACATCTATCTAACAATCGCAACTTCCAAACGAAGTTCGCGAGCTGACTTGTTTAGAGCTTATGGAAGGATTAATTACTCTTCTGAACATAATCATTATCTTGTTAATATGGATGTGTATGAAATTTCGCTATTATTTTTAGTTTATGCTTATAGTGTTCTTTTTATTATTTAAATTCTTATGTTTACACATTTTTCAGTAATAATGATTTCAAATCGAGCTCATTTTGAGCCGAGCTTGTACTCAACTTGACAAGCTGTGTTAATGAGCATTTAGCGAGCTCTACCGAGTCAAGCTCGAGCTAGAATATTTTTATTCAAGCCGAGCACGAGTTAGAGCTGAATTATCAAAATTTGAGCTCGAGCCGAGCTACAATTGAAAAATTTATAAACGATGCGAGCTCAACCTAAGCAAAAACTCGACTCTTTTGAAGCCCTACATACCGTTGAATATATGGTTGTGAAACTACCGGTATACGACCTGTATAATAGGTTTAATTGGTATTGGACCGACTAGAAGGAAGACTACCATCGTTATAGTCAAAACCGGTTAAAAGCACGTTGATTTTTCGTTAGCCTCATCCCCGGTTGGGGATTTGAGTGCAACTGCCCGTGGGTCAGTCTGCCTGAGCCTTGGTAGGTTTGACTCATAGTCTCATTGATGTACTCCAAGCCCTAGAGCTATAAGCAAGCATTATAGATTATGAATAGTCCAATTAGATTACCAATATTCTTTGTCATCGCCGTAGTCCTCATATATCTTGGCAGCTTCTTCATACATACATAGATCGCTACATCATTGAAGTCCATCTCATCTGGTTCCTTACCTCGGTCTATCACTTGATATACAAATGGATGGTGGTTGAAATGTCATGATCTTCGTATAAATAACTTTCTTCCTATCATCAACATGGTAGAACTGACCCCTTGTACTCTCTCTACCTTTACTTTTGAATCTTGCTCTGCCTTCTTTCTTCCTCTAGTCTCACTTTTCTAGTTAAGGGGGGCCGCCGCCGGCTCCTTTTAGGTGATCGACGGTAGCCCAAATCTTTTTATTTACTGCTTTTCTTTCCTTTTCATGATTTGTTTCTCTTGCCTTTGCTTTGGGCAGTTTTCATTCGGATTTCTAGCCGTAGTGGCCTTCAGTTTTTCTCCGTTCCAATCTAGCTATGGCTCCTCTTTCAGATCTTGGTTCTTTGTTTTGGGCTTGCTCGTTGTAGGAGTCGGAGTCTGCAGTTTGGGCGCTTCTTTCAGATCAGGACGGTGGAATTGTCCCAGGTTGGTGGCCTTATCTCCAAGATGAAGCCATTCTCTTCTTCCCCTCTCCGACCTCCCTAGGTGTTTGTGTGGCTTGGTGAGCCGTCGGTTTGTGGTGGGTAGAGTCTTCCCCGGCACTGGCGGCCGGGAGTCGGTGTTTTCGTGGAGTTTTGTGGCTGCGTTGGGAGCTTCTGCTATGCTTCGAACCTGATCTCTCTGCATCGGCTTCCTCTGTCTCGTCAGCTTGGAGCAATCCGGTTCATGTCCTTCTCCACCGCCATGTAATCTAGTTTCTGGATTCATTGTGATGGATGCCTTGAGTTTCCCCCGAGAGGCGGCAAATGGTTCGATGATGTTCGCTTGCCATGGATTTCGATACGATCGGACAAGCTGATTCTGATTTTGTTGCACTTTGATTGGTTGTTTGCAAGAGAGATTCCTGATGATCTGATGCCGGTCAACGATTTTGCTCTTTTTGGGTGGTTGCTTGTTGACTGTGTTTTGTTCTTCGTTGTTTCATTTGGTTTTACATGGTTTGGTTGTAACCGAGTGCCCTAGGGTTTCCTCTTGCTGGAACCAGATTGTTGGTTCTCTGTCCCTCTTTGTAACTGATCAGTTAAAGTGCAATAAAGTCCCCCTTGTAAAAAAAAAAAAAACATGGTAGAACTGTATGACATATAACTGTTTCCGATGTCGAAACTCCTTGTTAGGTTTCGAGCTTGTCATAGTGGTCTTCAGGGCTTGCAGATTTGGTTCTCTATTGATGTTGAGTTTTTCAACCTGACTCAGCTCTTCAATGTTCTTGACGAAGATATTGTCCGCTTTGGTCCTCGATCCTCACACAATTTTTCGATTTGAGATGTGCAATTCAAGGTAACTTCTCATAAGATCACCCATCCTTGTTGTAGTCCACACTGAGCACATTTAACTTCAGAATTCTCACAAGAACTCCTCTATTTCACCCCAAAACGCGTCTTGTTAGTTAAGGTCGGTTTCCTACTTATGAACCGTGGATCTCTCCTGTACTTTATATATGTGCAAATTGCAATTTGCCTGATGTGTTAATAATTAGTAAATGCAAATCAAAAGTAGTGATTGATGAGCAATAAAAAAAAGTAGTGACAAATATAAAAAGTTGATTAACTAAATTACAAACATATTATTTAGCGAATATTTTTTTTAAAAACATATTATTTAGCCAAATTTAGACCGTAAATTCTATAATAATATAACAAAAATTTAAGACCGTAACCACTAATCTATTGCCTGGCTCGCTACCTGATGCTCACCCTCAACAAAGTATCATTCAGATTCCTGACCCGCAGATGCTTTTTCAATTCTCACCGTCGCCGAGATACGCCGACGGGTCGAAGGACGGCGAGCCGGCGAATGAAGAAGGAGGGATCATAACAGTGGACGAGACCTTAAACCTCTTACCCCTTGATCCCTCCTCCTCGGAGCACATAAAGCTGCTATCAATCCAATTCCAACGACCCGCCATCTGATTCTCCGACGACGAAAGAACTTCCGATCCGTCCGACGAAATATCCATCCCCTGTTGCCGGAACCCGACGCCGCACTCGTTGCTGCAATCCGACACGCTGGTGGAGGTTTCCCACGAATTGGACAAGCAATTCGCTTCCAAAAACGGATCCCCTGAAGCACAAGGAGAAGGAGAAGGAGGAGGAGAAGAAGAAAGCACAACGATGCTCGGCTGCACCGATTTCTCAATGCTCTGGCTCTGGCTCTGGCTCCGCTGGTGGAAGAATTGGTCCCCTCCGCCGCGCAATTGGAATATACTGGCGAAGGTGAACTGATCGCTCACTCTGTTCTTCGTGGACTTGCTCTCGTTGGTCCTCGCCATGATGCTCTGCAAATTCTTGCTCAATTTCGCCTTCAACGACGAGAAATTGCCGGCGCTCAGCCGGCCGTCGACGACCGGAGGGGACTCCGGATTCGGGATCACGGCGGGGGAGCCATCAGCAGTACCAACACAATTGGGACGATGATGATGGGATGCAGGGGAAGCGAAATTGGTGCGGGCGTTCTCGCCGCGGAGGGCGCGGGCGGCTTCGTCATAAGCTCCGGCGGCTTCTTCAGGGGTATCGTAGGTTCCAAGCCACAGCCTGACGCGCTGGGAGGAGTCCTTGATCTCAGCTACCCATCTCCCCGACGGCCTCTGCCTCACTCCCACGAAGCGGCGGCCGCCGGCGGGCTTTGTGGTCCTGACGGTGCTCGTGCTGCTGCTGCTTTGTTGTGGTGCGGGAGGATTTCCTGCCATTGAAGAAGAGCTAGAGCAGTTTTTTATTGAGCAGTGTTTTTTTGGGGGAAAAGGGAAGCAGTCGTTTCTGAGGTTAGATGGTGAGGATACAAAACTTGGAACTTGTGGGTTTGTTATATATTCATCAAAATTTTGGTTGATCTCCGTTTGAATTATTTGTCTGTATTTTAGCCCTTTTTTTGTGGTTTTCTGCCATCAATTCCCCACTGCTTAATAGACAATGGTGTTTCATATTGTCTTACACTCTGCAGCAGTGTCTGGTTAGAAGCTTTGGTTTGGCTTGTTTTCGTTTGTGTGTTTGTTTATTGGTTTTTTTCCTCATAATCTTTTTAATATAGAACGGTTTGGCTCCGGGGAGGAAATACAACAACAGTGGGGTTTTTTTTTTTTACCTGTGAATTTTGTATATAGAACGGTTTTGCTAGACACACTTAGACGTTAGAAGAAAAATTGTAACTTTTAACAATGATGATTGAAATATCAGTTCTGAAGCGCTTTCGTACTTCAGTTCAAATAATTTAACAGCGGAAAATAGCTCTCAAGTTTATATACTATTTTATTTTACCAAATGATACAAAATAATTTATTAATGAGCTAAAATATCTAATTTTAGGTATTTGAACTATAAATCCCATTATATTGCTTGATTTCTAATGTAAAGTATTAATCAACTTCCAGGCATTTAAGATATTTATTCATTCATTTGTCTTTGTTTTTCAACGAATAAAGTGGCCGAGTGAAGCAAAAGATAAGTGAGACCCATACAAACAGCCAAACCGGATAAGAGAAGGAGACAATAATCAAATAAATGAAATAAATGGCAAAAAATTAAATAGAAAGATGAAAAGAACCTAATAGCTCTTTTTATCTCTCATTCAATTTTCTCAACGCCTAAATTGCCGCTGCGCAACGTTTACGCACTGCTAATTAAGCACACAGACACGATTAATCTAGGGCCTAAATTAATTTTTCAGAACCCGAAATTATGCATTAGCATCAAATTCTTCCGGCCAACAGGCGGGGGCTAACCTAGTATTTGTTACAGAATCTTCAAAATTCGAAAAGTACATATCCTTGTTCGTTCTAAAAAATCCCTAAAATTACATAATTTGTGAATTAGTGTTTTAGTAATTTGAGTTTTTTTTTTTTAGCATTATCATGGAATACCTCAGGGAGAAATTCTTGGATCTGCCTCTATATGGCAAGTAGCTCTGGATGAGAACTAGCAAGCCGGCTCACAGGAATGAAGCAATAAACAACTTGCAAAAAGGCGGCCGGGAATTGTCCCCTACTTCTTGAGAAGATTAACGGATTTGGGGAATAATAAACTTGTTTAATTATTATGTTTTCATTTTTAAAATATTCGCGGCGGGAAGATTCAACTGCAGGTCTGCAAGTGACGTGGAAGCTTACAAGCTTACAACCGTTGGAAGTTAGCACTTGGGGATGGAATGATTTGTGGGATACCACCTTCTCTCATTTGTCCTTGTTTTTACTTCTGTTCTTATTTCCTCTCAGCAGACCAACTTGAGATTATACCTCCACTCCTAATATAATATAATCCTTTAATGAAAACTATGGTATAAATTAATAGACTAATTCTATATGGTTAATATAAAATGAACTCGTAGATGTGACTTGTGAGCATATTTGCTGCAATACTCAGATATGTACAATTCTACAAAACTTTTTATCTCTTGTTTAAATTAGTTTTATCATCTGAATTTTCTGAAGTTAATATGCAATGAATTTATTCGCCTATTTCGCCCGAAGAGAACAGGTCATTCGGCAAGGGGATTCTGAAATTGCGGAGGCTTGGTTTGATCAAGCCGCGGAGTATTGGAAACAAGTTATATCACTTGCTCCTGGAAATAATATCGAAGCGCAGAAGATCACAAGGCGTTTCAAATAATATATGAACACCTGCTTTTAGTAATTTTTGTTTATTTTTTTTATTGATTCAGAGGTAAGGTGGGTCGACATGACAATTTATGTGCTCCTCTGTCCATTTTTTTTCTTCTTTTATACTTAGTACCGAACATGATATACAAAAATGATGACTAATAGTAAAACTCTATTGATTTATGCAAAAGATGTTATTGGTCAATATAGAAACATGATATACAGAGATGATGACCAATAGTAAAACTCTATTGATTCATGCAAAAGATGTTATTGGTCAATAGAGAAAGAAATACTAAAAATTTCTCATGTAGCATAAAGGTTAAGGATCAGAAGTTCTTACACATGAAGATGTAAACTTGTGCGATACAAATGAGTTTTCGTTGTGCTAATAAAAACTATGAAATTGTGAGAGACAACACAATGTGTTGAAATAGATTTCTCAACGTGACCCATCATTATTTGAGAGGAGACATACTCTTCTGGGGTGGATGGCTGGATGCAACTACTTTTAAAAATTTAATAATTATAACAAGTCAAGCTTTAAATTTACATTTGAAATATGTTGTACTAGTCCATTTGTTGAATCTCCTAAAGATGATGTCATAAAAAACACTAAAGGATAAATTTTCTAGAAGCAAACAATTAAGTTCTCGATAACATATATCGATCGACTGAGACAATCCCTTGTATGAATTGGGCAATATAGATGAATGTGAAAGACTCGTGTAAGTGTACACTTAACAAACAAGGGCTGAATGAGTATGAAAAGATCGTATCTAGATAGAGTGCATAAGAGAATTTGCATTGTGCATGTCCAATTGTGTCATTTATATACGATTTGAGTATTATAATTTAGAGTTTTAATTTAATGTATGAGTTGTGGTTTATGAGCATGCTTTGTTGATGTTGATCTTGGTATTATCAAAGAGAGAATTGGTGGACTATTCGGATTCACGATATTTATTTGGTTACAGTTTGTGATTCACTACATCTAAAGTACTTGTAGTTGCGGACTATTTATAGAGAAAATGATCATGAAGATCATGTATGAAAAATATGATCCTAACGATCACACATCAATTGAAAATTTAGAAAATTCATTCACAAACTCACTCTCAAGGACTATCTTATTAGTAAAGTTTGTTCGTGAAATTGGAGTTCAACGACTCAAGGATCTTAACTGATGATGTTATGAGGGAGAGCATATACACACTGCTCTTTTCCCATTAACCATGGTGTTTCCCGTCATTATGATAAAATAAACAACAATATTTACGGTTAAAATAGTGTATCATATACATTTTAATCTCCATAATCATGAAGAATATATTTATTCCTCATAGAACATAAATATGTGGATTGTTCTATCGTACACCAGACAATCTCCATAAGGACCCATCTCAACGGTCAGCATAAATGCGGCTCTGTTTTTTTAAAACAGAGCCGCATTTATGCTGACCGTTGAGATGGACGCATATGAAGGAGTTTGCCTGGTGTACGATAGACATCGCCATATTTATGGGGTCTTCCATCGTACCTTAAGTAAAATCAAAGGTATTGCATAAACTCGGTAAGAACATGGTATCTATACCTTGAATTAATCAGATCTTATGGCATGATATTATACCTTGACCCTTGATGAGTGGACCAAATATTTTAATTATCTAAATCATAGACCATGAACACTAAGATGGTACATATGATTTGTTCGATGTATTTAAAGAATCATCACCATCGATTATTATTTCTAATTAAATTAATCTTAGGGTATTAGATTTATAGAATTATGACCTAGAGTTTAATCTTTAAGGGTAAGGATAGTATCATGTCCCAAACTCTGGTAATTTCAAGGTCAAGATATCATATTTTTTACTCAGGGTATGTCATGCATTCGATTTTACTCAAGGTTATTGACCAGTCATAAGTTTTCTCTTAATTGAATTTAACGAGTTATGTCTCTTTCATTTTATTATAGAAAAATCATATGAATTGCGCTCTTCAAATTGGAACTCACTTGAATATATTTTGGAGCAAAAAATTTGAGACATATATTAACACTCAATACCATGGTGGTAATGCTTGGTAGTATATAAGATCATACCATGGTAGTATGAAAATTTAACATGATGTTATGAATATACTCTAATGTAGAATGATCGTGAACATAATATTAGGAATATACTAATTACCTATCACCACGGTTTACGACCATTTATCAACCCTATACCTGGGTGGTATAGGATCCAAAAACTTTTTTTCTAGAATTATATAAAATTCTACAGAACATTATGAACGTGTTGTTTCTGTACACACAAAATCATAACATGCATATATAACGGATGTATGGATTTTAGAATCCTCTATATTGAGCCTTGCAAAAATCATTCTCCCAAATTAAAGTTTGGATAAAATTGATCTTCATATATAAATAGCATTATAAATAGCTACTCGTTCATAATTCACGGTTTCTTTTTGTTTGGTGGGTCACGATCTTGAGATGGAACCGTCCAAAATTTCCTTGGCCCTTGGACCGGTGGTATAGACATCCAAAATGGGGAGCCCGCTGCTGATGCTGCCCGTCCTTTTATAATTAAGCTTTTAACTAATGACATTCCCATTACTAATCTGAATTACAACTTTGGTTATTAGTGGGGTGGATTTTTCACTCCATATACGTGTGGAATTACACCTGTCACTCAAAAGGATATTAATTAAGCCGGCTGATCACAGTGTCACTCCTGCTTAATTAATTTCTCTTGGCATATGTAAAGGAAACAGTACCATACTAATTAAGATTACTTCATCCTCACAGTTCTCCACTGTTACGTTCGTCTGCATGCATGATGGTTACATTTGCTCTTCTTTATTGATTGGCATCATATGTATTTTAATAATCAGAGCACAAAAATGTGTTCTTTTTATATATAGTACTTAGCTCTAATATAAAAAGGGAACGTAATATTTGTCTAAAATCCATACACTTACATAAGTAACCCTAACCTAAAATTTCTAAAACCCTCTATTCAAACACACCCTCTATTCTCCCACCGTCATCGCCCCTGTGCCACTTTCACCCGGAGGCGATGTGACTGTTC